CAGCATATTTACCAGCCAGACAGTGTACTGGGTGTGAAATATCAACTCCCCAATATGTTCTCGTGGGTGTTGTTTTAGCTGATAAAGGGAAACATACCAGCAGATGAGCAACAGCTTCCTCCCACAAACAACAAAAAAAAAGTACGATACATGAATAAAAACCTATGATATGACATAGTAAGCAACTATGGAAAATCTCCCCACATATTGCTATGTAGAGAGATACCCTACGAAGCAATTTCCAATGTTCAGCAGTCGATTTTGATAGGCTACAACAGTAACAGTATATTTCTTCTTCATCAACAACCCTCAAATTCTAATGCCGGATCCTGGCATCGCTCGCAGCAAGAAGGATTTGCGATCTCAGTACCAGACGTACGGGCTTATCTTATACGGGTTACGCTTATACGGGTATATCTATCCATTAAAAGTCTACAATAAAGTGTAATAAATATGTAATTAAAACATGTTTTATATTAGTTTTTGGTTTTTAATATTTTTATACTCCAAAATAAATCTTTGAAAAGGTTAAAAGTGTAATTTTACAAGTATAATATATTTGAATTCATAGACGAAGTGATAAATTATTTAAAGATCAATCGTAATGCAATTAATTTAAACTGTATATGTAACTGTATGTGTATGTGTATATTATGTAAATGTAAGTACATAAATTAAAGTGACACAAATATGTCCCAAATATTTATTTGTTGAAGTATGTAGTTATAAGTTCCTGAGTCAAAATATTATGTATCAAAATATATACTTCTATGAGGCTTGTACTCAGCCTTACCTCTGGCCGTACATAGGTTCTTTTATATCGTAAAACAATAGCAACCGGCTTGAATGAGGTTAAAAAAAATTAACGTCTTAATAAAGACCAGACAGAAATACAAAGGAACATTAAAGTGACATCGAGTTAATCAAGTCGATAAACCTCTTTTTAATTAACTCTGGGTATCGACTTTTAAGTATGGCTCTACTTGTTGCGGTGTCTTTTGGTTTCACCGCTGTTGTTCTTCTATGATCGATTCTACGACACCATAACTACATCTCTCAAGTTGGACAAAAAAAATCCACAAAGAATTAATAACAATTTAATAAAAATTGTGTATGGAATCTTGAGGCTACGAAATAAGATTTTTTAGTTACCAGTTTTTAGAACGATGTTACCGCTTGAAACATCTGACTGTAGGAATCAAAACACAATATAATTGCTTAAAAACATACTGATAACATGACTAAGTTCGCATTACTTGACAACACACAATTTCTTGACAAAACGCCATTATTCCCCACGCCCAATCTGCCCAGGATTTGGTATTACTTCTCGAAATAAAATTCTTACAAGCAAATTACTCTGAAGTGAGTTGTTCATGGGCTGAAAGTAATAAGCTTGGTTATATACGTGTCATTAAATTAGAGGCCTAGAAAATGCCCTTGCGGTACGCACCCATATTAAGTTGTTCGAATACAAACTACGTGGAATTGTTATTATCTGGATCAAGGGTTATAGTTGGAGTGAAATTATCACTGGCCGTAAGCTGCGAACAGTAATCGTGATTCTAGTGCACCTGCGCGGGATGTAGCGAGTAAATCACAACGCTCAATGCTCCGGCGCAATTAATGTCTTCGCAGGCACTGCTGTGAAATAACCCGACATCTGATTTGCTATACCTTTGTTGGTATCGTGGTCTGCGTGATATAAAAATATATTAGATACGTTCGTAGTGTGGATAAATAGATGGTATAATTTTGTATTATATTTAAATTTAAGTGGTAACTAAAGTGTTTGTGGTGGTGATATTAAAAAATGTTTTATTTCATTTTTACATGAGTGTCGTAAGAGTATCCATGTAAAAACTCAAGAAACCATAAGGTTGTCATGACCTCTAAAACATGGAGTTGTGTCATTTCATTTAATTCATTCCTTTAAATCAAAGACCACTGATGAACAAAAGCTTACCTATAGATTGCCTCATAAGATGGGTTGGAAATCACAGTTTTTTATATTCTATGCTGTTATTGGCTTATTGGAAAGACGCTGGTGCTCATCTCTTGGTTGTTTTCCCTCTGTCGTCTCTTACGACATCCGCGGAGCAATATAGGGTAGTGAATATTCTCACACGGTCACAGTCACGGTCACAGTTGTTCATTTCAATATATGCCAGATGTAAGATACTCGGACCGGTGCGTAGAACATTGTGGACATTGTGTGCCTATGTTAATTCGTGGCTTATATACGGAGTTATTGAGTTGTGGGGAAGTAGCGTGGAAGTGCAGCAGCTATTTATTACCCAGAAGAAGTGCATTAGAATACTAGCCCAGATAGATGACAATACTAGCTGTAGACCGTGTATCAAAAAACTAAATATTCTTAACTTACCCTGTATGTACATTTATGATCTATGCCTGTTTTTCCACAAAAATAATAATATTTTCAATAAGATTAAAGATACACATAACATAAATACACGTAACAAAAATAAATTATACCTACCTGTATGGCAATAAAAGTTTATAATAAATTACGAGTACCACAGGAAATAAAAAACATATCAGAATTAACCAAATTTCAATCAAGCCTCAGTAAATATTTAAAACAAAACCCCTTCTACTCAGTGGAGGAGTATTTAGATAAAAAATAATAAAATTATGTATTTTAAATTTATGTAGCTTCTAAATATATATTATGTACATATCCTCGTCAAATTTGCAGTGCCTGAAAAAGGCATCTAAATTGTAAGCACATTTTTAATTTAAGACCAATTATGTAGATACACTTGGATTGCAAATAAATTATTTGATTTGATTTGAAGATGCAATATGTCTAGTACTGTCTATCACGAATAATTCGCTTGCCAAGTCATCAAGAGTGATTATGATGGTCCAGGAGTTAATCGATACGGTGCGACAAAAAACAAAAAAACGGGTTTATTAATATTTTATAATTTATAACGTCAACATAACAGTAATAGCCAATATTCATTCGATAAGTCATTAACAACTCCTAAACCACAACACTTTTTAAACCTTAGAAATCAATACCCAAAAACTTAAAAACATTTATTTAATCATTTAACAACTCTATTCTAATGTATATATTTTTAACTCGGTTTAAGATCAAAATTTCTAATTTCTACCCTTATTCGAATATATCGCAATGAATATGAAAATTTCTACAATAAATTCTTTACCAAGTATATAAATCCTACGATATTTTTTCGATATCGATATTAATTAGATATATCGATATTTTTAATATGAATAGTTGATTAAAAATAGGGTACGAAGTGAAATTTGTTTATAAAACAATTGCTATATTTAAATGATATCAGAGCAAGGTTCAGCTAGAGCTGATCAGAGCGCGGGGCAGCGACCGTGGGAGAGGAGCACAAATCTCCGCATCTCAGAACTGGTCGGCAGGTGTGCAAGCCTCGCACACACGCACAAAATGCTTACTCATACACGCACCACAAACCTGACGCGCTTATGAATGAAGCCTACACGCATTTACGCACACATACAAACACAATCTCACTTGTTTATCTCTGATTTATTTTATTCAAAGCCATCGGGACTCGAAAAGAAATCAGCTATTAATTTGTACTTCGGCGCTCGGTAAATATAAATACAGTCGATAAAGATATTAATCCAAGCGATAATGATCTCAGACGATGATAATGACTCTTGATTAGATATAGAGTACTAGACTCCCGAAATATGGCGCCGTCTGTGACAAATATACATGTTTTTACTTGGTAGAGCCATGCTGCAGTTATATTAGTTGTATAGTTGTAGCACGAATTGGACTAGCTAAATACCAGCGTAAAATAGTAGCTTAATGTTGATGTGTATCGTATGGTGAGTGTAGAGATCCGGAGACCCTTTTTACTGGAAACGAGGTATTCCATCTAAGTCCTCACGGGTGACGAAGCATATTCATTTTGATTCGTAATCGAGGATAGATGTAGATTTCTATGGGCCACAGCAACTACTTACTAACAGGTGGACTGTGAAATCGTTTGTCATCCTAACCTGTAAAAAAATACTTTCTGTTTTTTTTTTATTGTACGGGAACATTTAAAAATCAGTAGTCTCATTATAAGTAAGTAGCTTATATACATGGTAGAGATAGATAGCTTATATATAATAACATATATACCTAGAGTGACAGCATATACGTGGTAGAGATAGATAGCTTATATATTATAATAACATATATATCTAGAGTGACAGCATATACGTGGTAGAGCCACGTTGCAGTTATATTATGGTTGTAGCACGAATTGATCGGCTCGACTGGGGAAAGACCACGCTCTCACAAAACACCAGCGTAAAATAGCAGCTAGTAAATGAATTTAACTGATCTAAGATTTGGGATGTGAAATATATAATATTGTAAACTAGCTGTTCCCCGCGACTACGCTCGCGTGGAATTTATTACGAATTAATTACGTTTTAATGTTTATGCGCGGAACCCTAATCCTTCTTCTAAAATAAAAGTAGCTTCTAAAATAAAAGTTACTCCTCATAGCATCCGCTTTCTGTCAGTGAAAGTCCCTTCAAAATCGGTTCGGCGATTTCGGAGATTAGCCGGAATATAGTATTTCTTAGTACTAACAGCTTCCGTCAATAATTTTAAGTACGTGATATGTACAGAATTAAAATATAGAGAATACTTTACAAAAAGAGAAACATTTTAGCCACGTGGTGCTGGTGTAGATGATCCGTTATGTAATTAGGTTATAAGAGTATATATTGTCAATTCTAGATAATATTGCTTCCAATAAATGGCAATCCTCTATTAGTTAGTGGCGATTTCAGCAATGTGTCCAGCTGTGACTATAACAGAATTATGAAGATCAATGCTATTAGAAAATTCCGTAACTCAAATAATAATCTTTTTTTAAATAACAAAATAAAGGCTATACAATTAAAATAATTAAAAGTTTGTACTTTCGAACAAATTTACATACAAAAATTTCGTATTGTTCCAGACATCCCATCGCAGGTGCCGCCGCTCACGCCCGGCACCAACAAGAAAATGGCCGAGGCGCTGAAGGCCACCTTCGCCTCCTGGGAGAAGGAGCAACTGCGCCTCGGCGTACCAAAAGGTTAGTACTTAATATTCAATTTAAATTTAACGAAATAAATCGTCATTTTGCATAGATCTGACCGTAAACAATAATCAAAAAAGCTGAAGGTACTCCGGGATTAACAATGACATCGGAACGTCAGTCATCTCAGTCCCCCGTGACCATTGAGTGCTGGAAAGCACCCGAAACGTCGGGAATTAAAAATAATTAAAATTAAATGCGATCAAATCCGTAAAAGTAGTTTTAATCAATGTGTAGTGTTTGCGCAAATACAAGAAATCTTTATTTAACGAAGCTTGCTTATTTTTGTTTGAACGGGGCGAAGCTTGAATATTTTTATTTCAATAATGTAATACTTTATAAAATGAACTGATCGACAAAAGACATTTACACATTTACTTTCATTTTAATCGTAGGTAGGTACATATAGTTGCGATATCGACAACATGCAAAAAAATTAATCTTAATATATATAAATTACGTATCACGTTGTTTGTCCGCGATGGATTCCTAAACTACTTTAACCGATTTTAATCAAATTTGCACACAGTGTGCAGTTTGGTCCAACTTGAGAGATAGGATAGTTTTTTTTGTCTATGAGTGACTCACAATTTTTTTTGCGAATTTTTTATAGGACATGACATGGGGTTGTCGAAAAGGGCAGAACAACGTACGCCTGGCAAGCTAGTACAATATATAAATTAAGTGTCACGTTGTTTGCCCGCGATGAACTCCTAAACTACCTAACCGATTTTAATCAAATTTGCACACCGTGTGCAGTTTGGTCCAACTTGAGAGATAGGATAGTTTTTTTTGTCTATGAGTTACCCACAATTTTTTTTTGTGCGAATTTGCTTTTTAATAGTACATGACAAAGGGTCATCGAAAATGGCAGAACAACGTCTGCCTCGCAAGATAGTAGTAAATAAATATAACTAGGTATACTATTTTGCCGTGCAGTGGCGGTGTAAGAATATCCTCTACCACATATCGTCCCGTGGGTGTCGTAAGAGACAGAGAGCGACAAACCGGGAGAGAGACAACAGCGTCTTCCTAATACTAAATAGGAAATAAACTGCGGTTACCAACCTACCTGCCAAGCATGGCAACTATGACAGTATGCCTCTTATGAGACAATCTTAGGGGAGGCCTATGTTCAGCAGTTGACTTTGATAGGAACTGTAAAGAAGAAGAGAAGTCTTAAGGGCACATCCTGTACACCCTGCTTGCTGATAAACAAAAGAGACCCTGCGGAACAATTGGTACCGGGAAAATATACAGAACTAAATTGCCATCGATTGGTTGTGGGTGGTATCACTCTTTTTACTGGTAACGAATCATGCTATCTTAGTCCTCAGCGATAGACGTAGGTGTCTATGAGCCACAACATCCACTTAACATCAAGTAGACTCTGTATTTATCACCCTTATTCTATAAAGAAGTGCGAGATAATTAGCTCATTTTATTTTATCTCTTACTCTTTCAAGATTTGCATTTTCCATTTTAACCTCAAGGCGTCCGACAAATCAAGAAAACTTTGTCTAGCTTCATCACATAGTTTTTTAACCGTTTTCAAAAACGATTAGGGTTATATATATATATATATATATATGTGATGCGTATGTTTTTTTATATTAACGCTTTTATTTGAAGGAACTGAACCAGTTTAAATTATTATTTTTATTAAATAGCGTAAATTACATCATCGTTTCCGCGGCACGGGGATGAATATTTCTTAATAGAAAAACCCAATTCCAAAATCAAATTCAAATTCCTTTATTTGCAATAAATAGGCTATTATGTTATCGGAGTAAAAATGAGTTGCTTAAAAAAGACCTAGAACTAGACCTTAGCCGTAAAATACAGCATGAAAACTTTTCAAAATTACCAAATGTGGGTGTTAACAGATTCTAAAATGTCAATTTATTCAATGTAATTTATCTAAGCAATTCATAATGTCATGTATAATTCACAATGTTTATTTCATTAAGTGATTAATTAAAATATCACGATGTCATTAAAATGATATAAAATTAGTGATACACATAGCAATTACGTCCATCATATATCAACATGAATTTTATTGTCATTTTGAAATTCCTTGACGCTATAATAACATTTATTATTATGATTTCCATTCACGTAACGTTCAATAACTTACTATGGACCAACACTGGATTAGAACCTGTGAACTCATGATGAGCAATCGAGCTTATGAACAGTAGACAAACGAATGCCCAAAAACAACCTTACCCCTCACCACACACCACAGGACTGTGTCTCTTTCACCCTATCCTATAAAAAAATAGTTACCATGGACTGTCGTAGTCCATGGTACACATAACATCACACCACAAATTATTATGGTAAATATCCCCCCTAAGAAGTTGAACTTTTACAGACTGTAATGAAGGAATTACTCAACCCTATAAATAACATTTCTTTACATATATATTTTTATATAATAAGGGTGACGAGCAAGAACACAGCTCATCTGATGGTTAGTGGATGCTGTGGCCCATTGACGTCTACATTTATCCTCGATTAAGAATCAAAGTGCAGATGCGTTGTCATCCCTGAGAACTAAGATGGAATACCTCGTATCCAGTAAAAAGAGTCTCCTGTTCTCTACACTCACCATACGAAACATAGCAGCATTAAACTGCTATTTTATGCTGGTATTCTGTGAGAGCGTGGTCAGTCCCAGGTCGAGCCGTCCCATACGTGCTACAATCGTATTGCTACTATTGCATTGTATTGCATATAGCTACAGCATGGCTTTACCACGTAAATTATTATTACTAAACCACTACTTAATTCTTTTTGAGCAGGATAAATGTTCAATCTTATATTTTGATGTTAGATCCTTTTCTAACTCCGGTTAGGAGTTCCATTTTCTCGTTATTCACTCATTTTTATAGTAAAGGTATTTTCATAATACGCATTCATGAAAATAAATATCGTAAAATTTTTTAGACCTGTGTAATAATTATTTTCAGCTAACATTAAATAATTAAATAAAACGTTCCGCCTCTTCAAAGTCGCAATAAAACATGGTTGGTTTAATTATCATTAAAAACACCACTACAATCGGTAATCCCTTGCCATAGCGTAATAACTCCAGCATTATGATGTAAAATTATGGCTCCATCTTAAATTTCCATCTTCTCGCTATTAAGAAAATATTTTACGGTAACATTGCGGGATTGATTTTCACTAGTATAAGCGTTGTTCCATTACAATTCGTCCATCTATTCCGGCGTATTGTTTTACGATGAGGAAGAAAAGGCATTAAAAGTACAGAAATATAATTTTAGATCATCAACAGCTGAAGATGTTATACGATCCACAAAGATGCACTTTATCTTATTTAATGTACCTACTGTATAATTAAATTAAAATTACCAGTCAGAAATGACTGACAAAAACCGGAGATGAACTCAAGAGGAGATCCATCAAGAGTGTCAACGCGGTTTATAGCAACCATATATAATTTATCACATTTATTTGTAAAAACAAAAGTATTAAATCAAGTCGACACCCTTTTAGCCCTATGTCCGTAAAATGAAATAAACGTGCAATAAGTAACATCAATAACAGGTAAAGTCAATATGTACATCATAACCGTATTTTACTCTTTTGCTGTGTTAAGAGGATAGAGTAAGTCAGCTCAAATTCTAATTTCGCCCCCACTTCCCCGCGCGTCGTATGCTATGTACCGATATGTTTGTAATCACTAATACTGTAAGTGGAAAGGTCGTTAGACACTTATTTCATTAGGTTTATCAAATTTATGCCTGTTTCTTAACGCCAAGCCAGCCGCTTCTTATTTTTATCACGGTTATTTCCCATTTTAATTTTACGTCGTACTGTTGCGTAATGTATATTCTGATCGTAAGCGACACAACTTCTCCCTTCAAAAGCCTAAGCGATACTAACGGGGCGACTGGAATCAAGCTCAAGACGCCGATAGTTTAGGTAATTTCTTTTTACAGTGAAAATAATGGTATTTTAAAAAAAGTAAATAACATAAGCACTGTTTTATAGTTAGTTCAGTTAGTATGCAAAGTTTCATGATCTTATTTAAAGTACTTTATGAATAACAGCGGTTTATTGTTTATTTTGGAGGTAACTTTGGATTTTTTTTCTATCTAGAAATTTTACGAAATCGTGTTTTCGTCTAACATAATCATTAACATTAATCCTCAACTTTACCATATATTTATTTCAAAATTAATGCTGCAATATTTTCGGCATAACAAAGGATCTTGCTAAGCCATTTGACATTATATTTCCCCTTAATGGTATTTTGGGCATTTATTGTAGGTAATTTACAAGTATAGGTATAATACAAGTACGCACTTTTTCTATTTCGTATTTATGCGTTTACATTTTTATTTACAATTTATTATATTGTACACACATTTTCATTCAGAACTGACTGGTAGAGTACACACATATAAAAGACATTGTTGTTTAAATTACTATCCGTCCCATCTAACATTTAGTATAATGTAGGTATCTACAATAAATATTAAATATATTTTTAAAAAAACCTAGCAATCTGTTGTAGTTATATCTGCAGAGTTTATGTTAATTGTCATGTTATTTAAATACTCCAATGTAAATTGTTTGTGGCCTTAGACATTTTTGTATGGTTTTTTCTGTGCCTGGCAAGAATCGTAAAAAAAATATTTATAGATTTAGGTCTATGCTAAATATTGGTAGTATAATATGGTTTGCTGTTTTAGCACTATAACATTCCATTTCCTTACTGAGTAATTCTATAGGATATTTTATTCATTATAAGATTTCACTACCAACCTTTTATGCAAATAGTTTTTAGCACAAGTCTTGTTTAAGTATAACAAAGCAAAAAACTTTGTCAATCATTGTGTTTGAAAATAAAAAGCAACAAAACTATAATTTCTTGTAGAGGATACCATTATATGCTTGCATAACTTTTGATTTATTTTGTTAAACACTATTAATAAACGGTCAGGGTTGCAAGTGATGAT